GAAAATAAGCCCTAGTGCTGGGCGTGGCTATGAAAATAAGCCCTAGTGCTGGGCGTGGCTATGAAAATAAGCCCTAGTGATGGGCGTGGCTATGAAAATAAGCCCTGGTGATGGGCGTGGCTATGAAAATAAGCCCTAGTGATGGGCGTGGCTACTCAGCGCATCTGCACAACCCGTGCGTGTCGTCGCAGAGCGGGAAAGAAGATAAGCAGCCCTTCTCATCTCCCCCGTGAGAGTTCAAATGATTGACATGAGAGATTGGGGCCAGTGGTTCTAAAGGAAATAGAATTGCAAGACATTGAGGATGGAATTTGGGGTTTGGAGAGTGATGATGATGTTCCAGAAGAAGACGACTTCACTCTATTTGAATCAATGTAGATGGTTGTACCGTACTTAAAAAAAAAATAACACATCCCCTGAAAATAAGCTCTAGGGTGTCTTCTTGAGGAAAATAAATATAAGACCCTGTCTTATTTTCGGGGAAACACGGTAGTAATTATGGTGGCTATGGTACAGATAATGATGCTAGTTGGCATTTACTGAGTGCTACCTATGTCTCGGGCACTGGTTTAAGCACTTTACATGCTTTATCCCACCTAAAGCTTCCAACAACCCACTCAGGCAAGTGCTGCTATTTATCCCTATATTCTGGAAGAAAACGAGGCAGAAAAGTTAAAGCAGTGATGAGCAGAGTTGAGTTTGGAACCCAGCAGACCAGCCCTGGAGCCCATGTTCTCAGCTACGACATGGTAGGGGCACAGCTATCTGGCTGCAAATGTCAACAGAGCCGAGGCAATCCTTGGGGACCTCTCATTGTGGTGCTTCCTCCGCATGTCACCTGTTTTGTAGCACTCAGCAGAGCCCTCCACAGCCATGGCCCCTGCACTGTTGCCCAGCCAATGCACACAGTGTAGGGTAGTATAGGGGAGATGAGGAAGGGGTGAGCATGTTACAGGAGAGAAAGAAGTTCTTGGTAGTAATTTGTCAAAATCAGTATCACAGATGTAAGAAGGCATTTTGGGCTCAGGCATGAGAAATTTTTGAACTGGCTTCTTTTTTATTATTATTATTTATATTTTATTTTGTTTGAGACAGAGTCTTACTTT